CTTCGGGGGAGGAGGGCCCTGCTGCCACCTTGAGTTTGAACTTCCAGCCTCCAGATCTGTGAGAGGATAAACTATTGTTTTAAGTCACCAAGTTTGTGGTGCTCCGTTACAACGGCCCTGGAAAATTAATATACTGTGTTCCTCAAAATGTTAAATTCCTCAGGCCCCAGCCCTTCGGTCCCTCTAAGCAAATATCCTTGTCTCCGACATTACAAAGAAAATTGAAGTCCTCTTAAAATGTTCAGCTAGAAACTCAACCCTTCCACTGTGCCGCCCTCTCCTCTTCCCTCCTCCCAAGGCCAGTCCCTCCACCTGCACTGTGGATCCCATTCCCTCCTGCTTCTCAGATACCTTATCCTGTTAGCCATTTTCTTTTTGTTTATCCTCTCCCGAGGACATTTTTTTTTTTTTTTTTTTTTGCATTTATCTTCAGATAGAGCGGGAGGGAGAGAGGAAAGAAGAGAGAAAGAGAGACACATTGAGTGGACGCCACCCACACAACCCCAACCGGGGCCGGGGACAAACTGCAACCGAGGCACGTGCCCTTAGCGGGAACTGAACCCAGGACTCTGTGCTCTGCGGGCCGATGCTCTAACCACTGAGCCAAACCGGACAGGGCACTGTTTTCTTTTTCTTAGAATTTTTATTTTCTCTCTCCCAAGTAGACCCTTTCCATGTTCAAATTCTCCCACTAAAAACAAGAAAAGGTTCCCTACTCCTAGTCCCCCTGTAGTTACCATCCTCACTCACTCTTCCCTCCAAAGCCAAACTCTCTCGACCAGCTTGGTTTCTTCACGCCCCACTCTCCCGACCTGCTCCATTGTTGCTTCTGCTCCGGTCACGCCATTGAAACCTTTCCTGTTGTGGTAAAGGGACTTCCACGTTGCTGAAACCAACAGATATGTTCCATCTTCACCTTACTTGACCTTTTGGCAGCATTGCACAGTTAACCACGACCTCCTTCCCTTTGCTCAGTGACATGACCATCCCCTGGATTCCCTCCGCCGTCCCCGTGGCTCCTTCCCAGAGTCTCTTCTCCCAGCCATCTCACGTGTGTGCTCAGGGCTCATGTTTAGGCTCTTTTCACTGCACTCTTTTCCCTGGGCTATCTTATTATTTGTATGTTGTTTTGATTACTGTCTGTGTCCCCCAAGCCTTTAAAATCTATGAGGTCTGAGACTCACCCAATGCCAACACCGTGCCAGGCACAGAGTAGTCACTTAGTAAATATTAGTTAAAGGACTAAATAACAGAAAGAAACTACTATGTTGGGTCCTGGGGTTACAAAGATGAAAAAGGCACAGAGCTTCCAGAAAGCAGCTCATAGATTGGGGATGGGAAGGGACAGGCAGATGAGAGGATGAGTAAACAGATCCAGGGTGTAACAGGGTGATGAGCACACAGCAGAGGAGCAGGCCAGAGGCCACGATGATGCCTGGGCCCAGCTCACCATCCCCAGATGAAGCTCAGTCCAGGTGTCTGTGGCTGATCTCAGTCCTCAGCGACCCTAGTCCTGTGATGTTACTGCTATGCAGCCACCACTGTATCCTAGTCATGGCAATGCCACCCATACTGCCACACATTCTGCAGGGCCACTGTCCTCAGGAACTGGGTACACTTCGAACCTGTTCAGAGTGCAGTGTTATTAAGGCTCTGGTTACAATCAAAGCATTCTGTAGAGCGCTTCAGTCAGAAGAGCTACTGGTGCCTTCCGGACGGTGATCTCATCATGTCCTCAGACCAACCCCAGAAGGCTGCAAAGAGTGATGATTTATCTTCCCACTGTACAGTTGGGGAGACTGAGGTCAATAGAGATCACTTGACTTGGCCAAGGATTGAGAACAGCTCAGGAACAAAACTTGGAGAAAACCCAGGGTTCTCTCTACATGGTCCACCAGCCAGACCAATTGACAGAGGACTGCTCAGGCCAAGGACGTGCTGCAACAGAAGCCTGAGGCTTGTTTGCTTTGGTGCAGAAGCACATGTCATCACCTCTTGGAACTACAGAATGTTACATCAGATGGGCCCTGGGAGATCATCTGATTCAACATCCTTTTATGAAGGAGGAAACTGATGAATCTTCTTTACCCTTCCTTTCCCCGCTGATAACAAGTGGTGAGACAGACGGCTAGCTGTCTACCCAACCCCCTCTTCTCTTCTTTGTCTATATGGCTAGCCTATATTTCCCAGGTGCCTTTGCAGTTTGGTGAGCCATGTGACCATGTTCTCTCCAGTGGGGTGTAAGAGGAAGTGAAGCAAGCCCGTGAACAAGAAGAATAAAACATCTATCATGGAAAGCTGCTGCATTTGGGGGGCCTATTTGTTACTGCAGCCCAGCCTAAACCTAATCTAATTATTGCAAGTAGAGACAGAAAAGCTCCTGCAAAAGCTCTGACTCGGTAGTGGAGACACTGGACTCACTGCTGATTTCACTGTCAACCACTTTGGAGTATTCCCACACCCTCTCTGGATAGGTTAGGAATGCCTGACTCTTCACTCAGTCCAGAAATACGGTCTGAAGTAGGATCCCACCTGTTTCATTCCACATCAAAAAACTCCCATGGCTGGAATGGATCTGAGACGTCATGTAATTTATCCCCCTGGCTCCAGATAAGGCCTCTTTTAAACCATGTGTAATGACCAAAATTCTTCTCTGGATTTTTATATCTCTGGGAAGTAGACACTACAAATGTCCTGTTTCATATATTCTTGCTACTTTGTCAGAAGGTCTTTAATGAACCCTAAAACCACAGAGTGGTAAAGTTAGGACAAGAAGCAAGGGCTCTAAGACCACGTCGACTACTCTTTCCAAGGTTCCATCTGCCTCCAGCTTCCTCTTGCTGTTTCTTCTTGTTCTGTCCTAGGAGAAGATGAAAAAGAGGTTCATCTTCATCAAGATCCATCTTTCCAGGTTCTCCTGTGTCTCCCCCTCCTCACCCACAGGTTAAGCACTACTCAACTGACCCAACTTGATCATTTCTTTTAGAAGGTAGAGAGAAGAGTAGAGAGCGATGAGTCTGTGGTACCTACAGGGAAGGCACATGGGGCAGCCATACATTTGCTCCTTGGGCATTGGTTGAAGGCAGAGTCTCTAATGGGATCTCTGAATCCACATGAGAAGCCTGTAAGGGCCATTGAACCCTTGATCATTACTGGTTGCCTGGGATAGTAACTCATGCTACACGAAATGGTCTCTGAGGAAGAAGGGAGCATTAGTGACCAGAACCTCCAAACACAGTGTCTTGGCGTGTTGGGGCTTATCTGGCTATGTCTGGGCAGCTGGGCAGAACTGACATTAATATGAGAGCAGGATCCCAAGAAGTTGACCTGGGCCCATGAGAGTAAACCAAATTACTTACAGAGGGATCACTGCATTGTACTTCCTTGGAAAGCCCTGGAGAGTTGGGGTTTTTTGGTTCTTTAAAAACAAAACAAAATAAAACCAAATTGTTACTCCTCACTCCCCTGTTTAAGGTGAGCTTGTTTATACAGAGCATCCTCATGTTTTCGGCCCAGTGACTCACTTGGACTGAGTCACCAGAAAGCAGGCCTAGGTCCATCAGCAGCTGCCCAGGACACGGTGATCTGTGCATTCCCCTGGAGCTGAATTATGGAGTTCTGGGTGCCAACAGAGAGGGCAGATAAATGGGGTAGAGAGACAGGTCTGAAGGGAAGTCCAAACTCAGAGTTTGCTGGGCATCTGGTGCTCAGACGGCCCCCCTAACGGAACTGACGATATCCCGAAGGAGCTCCAGTTTTCATTTCAGTTGGGACATTGTCTGAATTATTGCAAATTCTAAATAATGGGACCAGAATTAATGACACCACATGGTCATTCACAGATAAATCCCTTCATCGTTGGGTCTAGCTTCAGACTCTTGAGCAAGTTCTTTTCCATTTCGAGCACCTCTTTCTTTACCTAGAAATAAATGAAGAGGCTTGCAGCCCTGACGTTTAGACATTTTATCATGTATTTACTGGGAAGGGTGGGGATATGGACACACAAGGGACTTTATTTACCAGGAAAAGCTGTTTACACCAAATCTCTGTATCTGTCCCCTGAAGGTTTCCATGTAAAATGCAGTGATCTCTGCATCTTTTTGTTGAATTTGCCATCTGCAGGCCTTTTCCCAATCAAGTTTGTCCTAACAGTGCCTGAACTCACAGTTTTCTTTTCCCTGCGGCCTGCTTGGGTGTCCTGGTGGTGACACTTCTGCAGAACTCTGGTGTGAGCCAAAGGCCGTGGTCGAACGCGGATGGAATCCAGGCTCCAGAGGGCGCGGTGAAGGATGACTCCCGCATTGGCCTCAGGGTGAAGTGTTGGGCTTGGCAGCAGCCAACCCAGCACCAGCCCTGGGGCCTGGAGGAGTACTGGGGCGGGGGAGGGGGGACACTTCAAATTGGTAAGGGGCAGTGACCACATGGGCTGGGGAGCAGGGGCATAGGTTCCACTTCTCCCCCGTATCGAAGCGCTTTGTAAAATCTAGTTAGTGCTAATTACATGACCCAGTGCCTGCTTTTCATCGATTCATTGTGCATTTAAGGAGTTGTGAAATTCTGGTTCCTGATTCGGAAGACTCGGTTTTTCTCACTTTTCCCCAAATGCAAAACAATACTAATGGGTGTGAGAGAGAGAGAGAGAGAGAGCGCGCCCAAAGTTGGCGGCTCCGTGGCTGTCACCGCGTGGTCCCCAGCCCTGCCCCGCGGACGCCACCCCGCCCCCTTCCTGCCCTCTCCCCGCCCCGGCCCGGCCGCCCGGCGGGTGATGTCAACCGCGGAGGAGCCGCCCGCCCCGCGACCCGCCCGGGCTAATTAGCATGTAGCGGCGCCGGGGCCGCCTCCGCCGCGCCCGCCAGGCCCCCGGCCGCCCCCCCGCGGCTCCCACAACTTTTGAGGCGGGGACTGCGCTCGCAGCCTCACTTCGCCGACTTCCCCGGCCCGACACGGCACCCGCGCCCGCCCCGCGCCCGGGCATGTGAGCGCGGGCGGGCGCCGCCACCATGGCCTCGCCGCGCGCCTCGCGGTGGCCGCCGCCGCTCCGGCTGCTGCTGCCGCTGCTGCTGCTGCCGCTCGCCCCCGGGACGCGGGGCCAGCCGAGCCGGGCGCCTCTCGCAGGCACGGGGCTGGCGCGGCCGCCCGAGCCCGGCCCCGAGCACGAGCTGCAGGCGCCGCCACCCACTCCGCCCCGGGAGCGCCGCGGGCCCGCGCCCCCCGGCCCCAACCAGACGGCCCTGGCGCCGGACGCCGCTGCACGGCCGGGACCCTCGGGCCCGGGTCCCCGAGGCGGGAGCGCGGGTGAGTGAGAGCCGGGCACCGGCGAGCCTCGGGCTGGGGGCGTGGGCGCGCCCCGGGGCCGCATCCCCCGCCCTAGGCCCCTCCGCGCTGCTCGACCCGGGCGCGGGCTCCGCTGACCTGTGCGGACGTGGGATCCCGAGGGCGGGCTGGGAGGAGGGCAGCGAGCGGGTGGAGTGGATTTCCTAGACCGTTTCGCTGGTGGCCGGACTGGGGGGTGTGACCAAGCTGTTTCCTCCCCACCCCTTGGGAGAAAACTTATCTACCATGGTGTACCCTGGAACTCCCCCGCCGTATACACGACCCCCTTTAACAAAATAAAAGGGGAAACCCCCAAACCTTCCAAAGCCCTTTGACCACCTCTCAGAGTGACGTCCAGCCTGTCCAGTCCCCAATTCCATTCTTTTCCTGTAGCTAAAGAAGTGGCCTCTCCAGGTACAGAGCCTGACTTTTAGATAGAAATAACTGATTTTTAAAGAATTCTGGTCCTTAGGATATTGTAAAGGACAAAGGATGTAGTTGGAAACAAAACACTCCACTGGTTCACTAGAAGTAGGGTGACTGGGGGGATGGAGTTGGGTTTGCAGGGTCATATCCCTGCAAGGCAAACACTGACACAGGACTGTCCCTTTCCTCCTCTTTCCTTGCATAGCCACCACCTGCACTGCTCAGGGGACCCGGCCACTTTCCTCCTGTCCCTTTTATACAGTTCCTTCTTTAGGTCTGGAAGAAACACTACAGACTGCGTGAAATTCCAACCATGATATCATGGCGACCTTGGGAATGTCACCTCTTTAGATCTGTTTCTCCATCTGTGATATGGAAGCAGTGATCCCTGTTCCTCTCAGCCTCCTAGTGATGATGTGACAAAATGAAAGTAAAAATAATGGAAAGTGCTTTGAACAGAGTCAGCAATGTGGTGGTGTTAGCCAATGCCTTCCTGTGAGTGACACAAGGCATAGGCCTCTCAGGGTTATCCTGGAGCAGCAAGGTTAATGGTAACACTGGTTGTTGATTGGAGTTTAGGTGAGGGTTGAGAAGGTTTCATCTTCCTAGTTGACATGCCATTTAAGTTTCTCAAACTTTGTGGCATAAGAATTAGTTTGCTTTGTTGAACCTAGGGGATGCTTCCTCTAAGGGAAAAAAAGTTTAAAAAATATCAGACCCCCCCAGAAAAAACTCACCTCCACATAAAATAGTACTCCCATCATCGCAACAATACCGCGTCTTTGTGAATTTCTAAGTCACTGGCACAAGATTGAAACAGAGGAACAGTAAGGGAGAGGAGAAGAAAGCTTCAAAAGACCGGTGGGAGACACACCCACACTGACTCCGACTTTAGATGACTTACAGTACACATTGTTTTCAGTTCCACGGGAAGGAATTAAGAACGTAAAGGAGAGCATTTCCTGGCTTTCTTGCACTAGAAAAGTAACTAAGGAACACCAGTATTTTGTGTTTTCTAAACGGAAAGTGGAGTGCACAGGGAACTGAGGCCATATCAGAGACACCAAGAATGAAAGGCAGGTTTTGCCCTGGCTGGTTTGCTCAGCGGTTAGAGCGTCGGCCTGCGGTCCGGAGAGACCCGGGTTCGGTTCCCGCTAAGGGCATGTACCCCGGTTGCAGTTTGTCCCCGGCCCTGGTTGGTCGTGCAGGTGGCGACCACTCGATGTGTCCCTTCACGTCGATGTTTCTCTCTCTCTCTCTTCCTCTCTCTCCCTCCCACTCTGTCCGTACAAAAAATGGAAAAATGTCCTCGGATGAGGATTAAAAAAAAAAAGGCAGGTTTCTCTGGCTGGTGGTCAGGCTTTCTTAGCTTTGGCCCCGATCTTTTTAGGGGATGGCTGGGAGGGATGATGCCTTACAGGAAGGTGGAGGGCGGGACTTCGGCAGGATGAAGCTGGCACATGAGTCTCCTTCCTTTTCGTATGTCTGGGAATCCCTACACGTCTCAGAGAGCTGGGTGCTACTGGGAGGGGACAGTGAAGGAAAACTGGCTTAGGGGACTCTGCAGGTAAGAATTGGGGCTGATCTTTTTTGCTAGTCGGGGACTCCCTCTCTGCCTTAAGTGACGCATCATTTCTCACAGATTCAGCAGATAACACTGCTAGTCTTGGCTTAACAACCTTCCCAGTTTGATTCATTTTGGGAGATGACAGCCGTGGAAACTTCAGGTGCTTGAGACCTGGAGGAATACACGTGAGAGTCCCAGAGAGCAGGCAGGCAGGAGGCCGAGGAGTCTACACTGTCTCTTACCTGAGAGGCTCTCTCCTGGCGCCCTCACGAAGACCGCCCACAGAGTGTCTGCTGTACTGCTGGTCTAAGGCTGGATCTCAGGTGGGATGTTAGAAACCTGAGATTAGAAGAGAGGAAATTGATTACCTACTGAAAACTACTAGAAGCTACTAACATGACTGAGGATTCCAGCATGACATGTGCTCGTTTTCTGGTGGAGCCTCAAACAATGTCACTTATTGGGGAAAAGAAAGAACAAGAGAGGCAGCATTGTCTGATTTCAGTGAGTCTGAGTTTCCCAGTAACCTTCAAGGGTTTGCTTTGGACCCTTTTTGATTGGCCACCATGTATCACAAGGTACAGTCAGTTATCTCCCAAGGCAGCAAAGTCGCCACGCTGAACAGGCCTCCAGAGGCCCCTGGTCCACATTGCGTCCCACCTCTCAGCACCCGACAGATGGCCATCCAGGCTGCGCACCAACGTTTGTGTGTTTGGGGAGGTGCTCCCTCCTGCTGGTAATGAGCCCAAGTCTTACAGATAATGTGTTTCATTTGATTGTTGGGAAGACTGCCTGCATCCCCTTCTGCTGCAGGGATGCTCATGGTCAGCGCCTGGCCCTCATAGCTTGGGCTTCCAATTACATGGATGTCAGCAGCAGGGACCAGCGATATCCACCCCCCCCCCCCCAGGGGCCATTTCTAGCCCCTTTCCTCCTCTTGACAGACTCGGAGGTTCTCACCGTTAAGTAACCACACTTTTGTTGGCCTGCATTAGACTTCAAGGCCCAGGACAGCACCCCAGCACCATTGTTAAGCTTTTGTGCCCACCTGTCACCTTCTGGCTGTTTAGCTGAAGCTGTTGCTGACAATTCAGCCTGTGGAGCTAGAGAAGATGACAAGCCCTGGAGGTTTTCTTTTTTCTTGGTGTGTGTGTGTGTTTTAAAAACAACTCAGGGCCATCTGTAACAAAAATAAATTAATTAATTAAATAAAAAATAAAAATAAAAAAAACTCAGGGCTTCTAAGCCACAATTTTAAGCTGATATTTATATGCCTTGATTTTTGCAATTTAGAGGCCTTGCTTTAATTGTGAGATCTGCAGATGAGAGGGGGGGGAAAGCTTAAGTCATAATGAAAATCAATGCAGAAGGAAAGAACTTTCCCACCCAAAAGGGAAATGACGCCGAGTAGCTGAGCTGCCAGCCCAAGGAATAATAATCTTAGAAAAATGCAGCTCCCTAGAGTAAAAGAAGCTCTATGAGCCCAGTCCCTTCGGGGCTGTTACATAGCTATTGCCTGAATTGCTGTAACTTTGTGGGCCAACTTTGTCATTTAGCTTTAGCTGCTAGGAAAACCAATACGCAGGGCAGAGAAGAGGCTGGGCAAGAGGCAGCCCTGCAGGGAAGGGAGAGGGACTTTCCTCTAGGATTTTGGCCACCTCTGTCCTGGCCAAGGCTGGAGGAGATGGGGGTGGTGGAGATTCCTGAGAAGCCTGCTTGCTTTGATGGAGCAAATCCCAAATAGAAGGAGGGGTGTGGGAAAAGGGACTCTCCATGCCTGTGTGTATTTAAAAGTCATTCCTTTTAACCTGGCACACCCTCCCCTTTTAATATATACTTTTTCTTTTATTGATTTTTTTTTAGAGAGAAAGGGACAGAGAGAGAGATAGAAACATTGATGTGAGAGAGAAACATTCATCGGCTGCCTCCAGCACGCCCGCCACTGGGGATCTAGCTTGCAACCTGGGCACATGCCCTGACCGGGAATCAAACCAGGGCCTCTCAGTCCATGGGACTATGCTCAATCCACTGAGCCACATGGGCCGGGCCTGGCAAAAGCCCTTTTATTGCTTCCCTCGGCATGTGTACAAATGCTGAGCTGCAGCTGTTGACTGCCCAAGAGCTGAGTGGTGTGGGTAGAGGGAGAATGAAAGGCGTCTGATGCCCAGCTGGGCAGTGACTACATTCCTCGTCCTGCAGAGCTGGGGAAGGAGCCTCTGCCCTTCCAGTGATCCCCTTCGCCTTCCAGCAGCTCTGCCCAGCTGGCTGAAAACACTGTTCATGGGGTTGACTAGTCTCAGAGTCACTCGGAAAGAGAGCAGAGAACAGATGGCAGTGAGTTTTTATGAGCCACTTATTGCCTTCTTCAGTGGCTTCCCGCTGCCCCCCGGCTTCTTTTGTATAACCGGTCAGTTTCAGAGGTAATGAATGTCTCTCCCTTCGAAGAATCTCAGGGAAGCAGCAGGGACGGAGATTAGTGTTGGTTCCTCTTTCGACTTCAGGCCTTTGAGCACCTACCTGTGGTGGGAGCTTTCCTGTTCCTCACCCCTCGGAACAGTCCTGTTGGAGGCATTATTTCTCCTTTTACAGTTGTGGAAACTGAAGTCTGGTGAGGTTAGATCACAGTAAATGGGAGAGGCAGAATTTAAATCAGTGTGACCAAATTGATTTGCGTTTTTCGCAATATCATGTGGCCTCGATTTTTCCATCAGTAAAATGGGGTGAAAATTGTTCTAATCTCTAAGGTCCTCTTTGGCACATTCTTCTTCTTCCTCTCTTCTCTGGTCCCTTGCTCGTGCCGCTTTTTAGAGTGTAGGGACTAAGGTGGACTGAGAGATGGCAGAAGGAGACAGTGATAATGAGGACCACCTGCAGAATAGAGATCAAAAAAATCTTTTTTTTGGAAATTGCTCAAGATAAGACCATCTCTCTCTCTCTCTTTCCGTGTGTGTGTGTGTGTGTGTGTGTGTGTGTGTGTATGGTATTTTAT